CATATCATTATAATATCATAGGTTATAAGTTATATATCGATGATAAGTATAACTAAGCCATAGTAATATTTGATAAATCAATATAATAAGATCCTAATAACCATTTATCTTTATGTCGTAAAGGTAAAATTGATGGGTGATTAATAGGCGAATGTTTAAAATTTTTATTACAATATGAGAATGCTATAATTTGGTTCAATAAAGCATTAGCTATTGATCCGAAGCATGTTAATTCCTTATCCAATAAAGATATAATGATTCATATTTATATTAATAGGTGATTGCTTAAGATTACTAAAGAAATATAATGAAGCTCTAAAATGTTTAGATTAAGCGCTCTCCATTGATTAGCAGCATACTAATTCTCTACGATGCAAAGGTATTTATGGTTATAATTCTAAGGAGCCTGTTTACAAGACTAATAAAAATATGAAGAAGCACTTATTTATTATGAAAAATCTTTGAAATTAGAACCTAATCTTCAATGGACGAAAAACTAAATATGTATTCTTAACTTTAAAAATTAGATTTTTGCAAAAATAAATTACAGAAATGATATCTAAATTTCATATTATTCTAAAATTTGTTATTTAACCCTTATATTAAAGTAGTTGATGTTGTTGAATTGTAATTTTGTTAAATAAGTCAATTTGATTTTACAATCTGTAAATAGTTTTGGTGTTTTCTTATATGATTTAATAATGGAGCTCAGTATGGTTCATTACTAAACCAATTTTAATTCAAATAAATATTTTACGCTGGGGCTAGGTATAATAGATAAATTTAGAATCTATAGAGAAGTTTTAAATAACAAGTATAAGCACAAGAAGAGAAAAGACTTCCAAATTAAGAGAAAATCTTGAATTATACAAATGATAAGGCCAAAATAGCTCATTAAAACATCATTTGAATGAACAAAATAATTCAATTCTCAAATGTATTCAACTTAAAGTATAAAGAGTTTACTCATTTAGATATTTCTGGTCAAATTTTAGGATAAAAAATAAAATAAAGGAATAAAATAATGAGATAATGAAAAAGTAAATTTGAAATTAATTAGCTCTTTTATAAGAAAAGCTATATTGTGTTATAATATATAAAAGAAAAAATATCAATTTTGCTTGATTTAGATATCAATATAGATTATAATTAGATATATGAATCAGCAATTTGACTGCTATTTTGTAAGCTCCTTAAAGGTATGAAGATATCTTATTATTAAATAAATTTAGAAAGTTGTGCAGAATTCTTTTCCAATACGTTCGAAATTAGATGTTTTTTAACTTTCAATATAGGCATCGAATTGTTTGATTTTCTTGGGTTTCAATATCATGTTTTCTAATTTTCCAACTTCTTTGAGATCAAATTAATTTTTTGAATCTTGGACCTTTATGAACTTTGCAATAAAGATTATTGTTAATGCTGAGACGATAAACAACTAATCAATTACTTGGTAAGTTGAAGTTATTGATAAATGGCTGATGCCACATTTGTGCATTGAAAGGTATGAGCCTTAGTTGAGGTAGTAAGATCTATAAAAGATGTGATCAAAAAAATCTAAAAAAATAATACACTGATTGCAAGTCAAAATATAGTATGAGATAAATTATGTATATATTATTTATATTATGAGATTTGAATTGTTAAGGAAAAAGGCAATAAATTTAATAATTTTAAGGTACTTCAAATTTAATTTAATTATTTGCATTCGTAAATTAATTTTAGTTGAATCAGAAGTGACGATTTAAGTCAAGAAAAACAACTACTTTTGCATTCAGCATTTCAGAATTTGTTAAGAAAATTTTTTTGATATAATTAGCTAATAATATGTGCATTTTTTAAATAACAGATTCATAAGTGACAACAATCAAATTGTTTTTGCACAGAATTAGAGTTCTCATAACAAATTGGGCTAGCATCCATCTGTAGATACATAAAGTGTGCATGATCTAGCTGCTCATAGATCTAATAATTTATATGGGGTTTAGCAGGCTTAAGTTCTACTAAAAAGTAGAAGATGCACCACATAGAAAAAAAATAAAACGATGAAGTGTGCTAATGAAAACCCCTTCATTAAGATTGAATCCAGAACTGTATCATGTGCAAGAATTGCCAGCAGATCATATGATATCATTTATCAACTTAGTAACTACAGTTTAACATTTTATTGGCTCAGTTAATTCAAAATTTCTCAAAGTAATTAGGATTTATAATTCATCAACTAAGTTGAAGTAGCAGTACTGCCTTCCAGAATAATTTTTGCAACCTAAATAGGAATCTGCTTAGCATTAATGGCTGCATTTAACTCAAAGCCATCACCACAATAAAGCTTTCCTTTGCTAAATTTGATTTTCAATATAATTACAAGAAACAGATAAGGTGATGTATGAAGTACACCAAGAAGTAAAGTTTAACAAGCCTAACTGATGTCTTACAGGTTGATCACGTAGAGAACATTTATTATTATATATTGTTAATAAAAGTAATAGTCAAGACGCATCAGAACATAACTCGAATTACAACCTAAAGATAGATAGAAAATTCCTTATTTAGCGCATGGACTAGGAAGGATCATAGTTTACAAGTCTCACATGAAGAATAAAGACTAGGATTTTGGAAGGCCTCATAAATATCAAGAAATATTTGAAATAACTGCTAAAACAAGCTTCTGAATATTGGTCACTTTTAGTAGTTGATTACAACAACACTTATCCAGCTATTAATAAATGTATCTGTGATAGCACAATCATAAGAGTTATTATTCAAGTCCTTTTTTGCAAACTGAAGAATACAAAGCAGATTGAAAAAGATTATTGCATGATCAACATACATTTTGGATTATCTTGATTATATCCC